CACCCTCTGCTTTGCTTTGCCTCTCAGGGGTTTCTCTGCTGAAGCACCCAGAGCCACAAGTGCAACTGCCCAACCATGGGCTGGTCCAGGGACGCCTCCATGGCAGGGCAGCACCGGTCCAAGCTGGGACCTAAAAAGGCATCAACCCCATTTCCTTATCACACTGAAACAGGAGGAGCAAGTATTGCCGTTGTGTAAAGCACCCTCTCACAGAGCTGGCACCACGCTGCCAAGTCTTGCCTGTTTTTTTTCTCCTCCCTTTGGTGAATATCTCCAGGTAGTGTTTGTGGGACTCGTACCCTCTCCTCTGCTCTTACCCCATTACTGACACCAGCAGATGCAGCCAACAGGACTGGCCTTGGCCAGAAATACCATCCAATAACGGGGTGTCTACACTACAACGGGCTCTAATTACACCCTTTGGCCACTCCTCACTCTTGCACATTAGGAGGTGTAATTGGCTCACCCCTTTAAGCTTCCTTTGGCAACAGATTAATCATAATTAGGTTTAAAGGAAGCTATTTCTCCTCTATAGGTTTCACCCAGAAGTCAGCAGCACCTTGTAAGGAGCAGGGAACTATTTCAGTGACAAGGCAACAGAAGTGATGGGCTGCACCAGGTGTCCCAGCGTGGGGCAATGCCAGGTCTTCAGGTACCCAGTGTGGCCATGAGGCCAAAATGCCTCTTACCCAGCTAGATGCTACAAGAAACCTGGAGAGGGGCTTTGGACAAGGGATGTAGGGACAGGACAAGGGCAATGGCTTTAACCTGCCAGAGGGGAGATTGAGATGAGCTCTGAGGCAGAAGCTCTTCCCTGGGAGGGTGCTGAGGCGCTGGCACAGGGTGCCCAGAGAAGCTGTGGCTGCCCCATCCCTGGCAGTGTTCAAGGCCAGCTTGGACACAGGGGCTTGGAGCAACCTGCTCTAGTGGAAGGTGTCCCTGCCTGTGGCAGGGGTTGGAGCTGGATGAGCTTTAAGGTCCCTTCCAACACAAACCAGTCTGGAACTCTGTGAAAACACCCTGCACTGCCCCTGCTCATGTTCACAACACGTGTGTTCGGTGGCTTAATCCACTGCAGGTTTGGGGTTACTCTTTGCTGTGAGGTGAAAAACCAGCAGTGCCTGTGTGGAGCAGTGTCAGGCTGCCCAGCGGGTCCTGACCTGCTGCTCCCATCCAGCTGGGATACCCAGCCCTGCTCACTGGGATGTGCCTGGAGAAACTGCAGCTCATTGACCCCCGGTTTGCAGAGCAGCATGGCAAGCAGGACACTGCCACAGGGTGCCCAAGCTGCAGCCCCACACTGGGGACACAGTATCCTGGGGAGGTGTCCCCACACTGGGATGCTCCTTGGAGCTGGTGTGAGCCACCCTTGGGACCTTGCAGGGGGCTGGTGGCAGGAAACTGGGGGGACCCAGTAGCCTTAAACATCACCCAGTGATGTTCAGCAAGGGCCCAAGTACCAGTACAGGCTGGGGGTGACCTACTGGAGAGCACTTTGGCCAAGAAGGACCTGGAAGTGTTGGTGGATGGTAAGTTAAGAGTTGACTATAAGCCAGCCCTTGCAGCCAGGAGGGCCAAGAGTATCCTGGGGTGCATGGGGAGGAGTGTGGCAGGAGGGCCAGGGGGGGGATTCC